TTCAATGCTTTTAATGCAGCCTACAATAGCACAATTGCTCGGTAGTTGATCGTTTGGCATATTAGCGTTGACATGGGCAGGATCCAGAGTCAAGTCGAGCACCCTTTTTGATGACATGGTTGAGTCCGTAGGAAGCGCGGAAGAATTCTTCACACAACAGCGAACTACCTGTCCAGCTGCAAACATGTCGTTCAATAGGGGGACAGTTTCCTAAAGGGGTTGTTTTCATGTTATTGATAGAAGTAGATGTTACGCATTGATTCCCCGAGACTAGTTTTTCAAGAGCAGCATAGTAGACCGCATTGACGTCCGCGATCTTCACCCTCCCAGCAACACCAAATGGTAGGCTAACATCAAGGTAGAACTTTCCAACACTTTTGACACGTCCAAGACAGACTTTCTCTGTCGGCATTGGAAGAATACGACAGGCTTCCGTGCACTAGAATAAGAAGAATTTTGTATTTATTATAAGTTCAGATCACCTAGGGAAGAAAAAAATGAGCTAAATATAACGGACGGCATCATTCTCAAACTGTTTACGCGAGGGAATAAAAATGGAGGTATCGAAACTACAAATTAAAATAATCAGTTTTGGTGCAAGCTCGATGTAGAGCTGTGCTCTAATATTCTGCGGTGTGTCCCTAAGCATGCAGATACGCTAACTGTTAACAATCCTGCCGTAGTGTAGCAATAAAATTATCAAGAAGCAAATGTGCTAACGTTACTTCCCAAAACCGTTTAGGGAAGCATTTTATCAATTTAAAAAGGCGTGGGAGCGCCGGTGGATAGTTGACAAAGAAAATGATTTTTATTTATTCTATAAATTAAAGGTTTCGAAAACTAATATCGCATAGCTTTCTGGAAACACTTCAGGCCAAGAAAAGATCGGGGAAGTATGGCAGAGCCCAGAGCGCTCCATTCAAGAGATATCCCACAAAATAAGTTGATAGAATCGGCCGCAAAAAGAACGGTGTATTACACTGGACAAAAATGAGAACCAAATATTGAAGTAGAGCCAGAAAGATACTACTGACTTATTTGCCAGTCAGCTTGCCTCTGCTATACGGATAGAAAGTACAGACGGAGATGGAACAGGGCGACCGCTCGTGCAAGACTTGTCTATAATAAAGCAATATGAGGTAACAGAAAATGATATCGGACCCTTAGATCCTTCAGTGAACGTGCTCATCTATGAGAAGACGGACCAAAATGCAATGGTACAATCGCTTCGTAAGGATGGCGACTGGTCGAAGTGACTATTCAACGACTAAGACCAAGCGATATTTTGACAGCCCCACTCCTGCACCTGAAAAGCAAACCAGAAACCATTGGAGACCCTTTAGAGTAGCAGTGGACTCGGTGTCAAGCTGAAGAACCGAAATACGCAACAAAGTCCATTGCTTGATTACCCGCAGATGCAGAACCAGCTTAAAGCCTCGTGAGCTACAGTTGGCTTGATACGTTAACTTCATGCCTACAGGTTGGTAAGCGGACGGGCAGAGCCGGTAGGGTGAGACAGTAGACTGCCAGTTTAATTAAGTAGTTCTCTGTTTTACGTTATCTCCATATCTTTCGATTTTATCTGTCTGGATACGATAAATTATTTTTTCAAATCGTTCAGCGGCTCTTGCAGTCAATCAAAATTTATCTTATCTAT